TTGACAAAAGGATGAAGTCTCTATCTGTCAGGGAAGCCGAGATATTGCAAAATAAAAAAGGTCTTCAACTTTTGAACAGCACTTTTTATATAAAAATTAACCCGGTCCTGAAAGGGTTAAACTACTTGTTCTCTGTTTCCTCGGAATTCATGCGCAGAGCTTTCATAAAAAAATAAATATTAGCAGATAATGGATCAACTTTATGTTGTAAACTTTAATGAAATGTGCGATATAGTAAAATCTAATTTTTTTTTCTTTATCAATTTTAGTCCTTTTCATTTAATTCAAGAATGAAGATTTTAAATTTATTTATTTGTTTGTTAGTTTTCATTTTTACTAATTTCAATCATCAGTACACACAAGCGCTTAGGATACAAAGACGCCATCAAGATTACTTGTTCAGAAATTTAATTGTACCATTAAACGCATATGACGAGAGTGAAGGCGATTACGTTGAATATCCTTACAATGGTAAGTAAATAAAGTCATTTCAATTTCTAAAACGCGCATAACCATAGTTTTCGGAGTTAGTTCTGAATTTTTTCTAATACGAATCGATTTTATGTTTGATGAGGCTCGATACTTTTTTTTTTGAAAAATTTTATGTTGAAACATTAATTAGTGGCGTGGATTTGAATCACGCTATTTATTATTTAACAAATTTAATTAATGATTATAATTCACGATTAATTCATGAATTAACTAAACTTTTATCAGGAATAATCTTCAGGAAACAAATCTTCTCGGTTTGAATTAAAATATCAAAAACTGTATCTTTCGTTCTCTTCTAATGCAAATAGTAATAATAATGATAATCCTAATAATATTAATTTGATTTCATTATTCCCATTTGATTAATTTCGATCTATAGTTGAACTTGAACAACGCCTCAATAGAATACTTACTATTGTTAGATTATGTGTCAAATATACCCGATGTGGTAACAAAATTATCAAATATGTGTTCCTTAAACAGTTCTCAACAGCATTATAGTCCACCATTTTCTTCTCCTCTAGCTTCATTTTACTATTTACCTTAAAAAAGCGAAACTATTTTGCATCCTCCAAAAGATTATGTGAGAGTGTAACAAAAAGAATTTATAGTAAAAAAACAAAAGAAAGGTGGAAGAAAATGAATTTAAACTACTATTCATTTCAAAATTGACAGACTGAGGATGTTTTTCTAATAACTTTTGAACAGAAAGAGCTAGAGACAAGCGCTTTTCAGGGTTCTAGAGAAGACAGATTAGAATGTCAAGCTATGGAAATTTCTTTTTTAGTTTTCCGCTCCTTTGTGGTGTACCGCGCCTGGCAAAATTTATTACTAACTGAAACTCTGAACATGTGTCGAGATGGATCTAATAAGGTCGCAAACGAAGTTTCAGACAAAAGAACCTAAACCTAGATTTCGATTTTTTGAGGTTTTTTTCTACTTTGAACGCTATTCTAAAAACTCTCATACAGATGCATCTGACCATAAAAAAGTTTTTTTATCATGGCTGATATGCAGATAGAGGGCATCTTACATGTGTGCAGCTCACAAGGAAGTTACAAGGAAGCGCTTCTGCACGGTCTACTTTCCCAAAGCTACAATCTTGGTGAAATGTGGTGGACTCTCAAAAAAAGTGGATTTCTAGTTGGATAGGCCAAGTGCAAATGAGAATTGCATTGTATAGTTCCACTCTTTGAGAATAATTATTAAGGAATTCAAATCGTTATCTATTCATAATTTTTAAATATATTTTTTTCTTTATGGTTAGATGTCCGATTATATCGCCGTGGATGGGGCAGTGGTAAACGAAGTGCAATATGATACCATAAATTGAATTACTGATGGTTATTTATCAATTGAAATAGCAATGGCGCGATTATAATAAGAAAACTTGTTTGCACTTAATAACTGAATGTTATTTGAATACATGATAATTAAAAGAAAATAGGTGTTTTACAAATAAAGAAGAAAAATAAAAGGCTCGTTAAAATATATAATTACTGGAAATCTCCGCTCGTCGTGCGATACCTCAAATATATACTATAGTAATCGCCTTCATCTGCTAGCTAAGAAAGCCATATATTGTGATAGTCATCATGTCATCGCAATCGCCTAAGTTTTGCCGATTAATCGCGATTTCAAATCAAAACGACGCTTAATCGTGGTCTTTCTGCTGTGTTTCCATAGCGACTAAACGATTTTTATTGTCTGTTGCTATGGAAACACAGCGAAAAGATCGCGATTAAGCGCCGTTTTGATTTGAAATCGCGATTAATCGGCAAAACTTAAGCAATTTTAATGACATGGGCAATCCACTGACTACTTACTGTTGTTATTCAAGCTGCAAGACTTTGATCAGAACTATTTCTTATCAAGCAAACCATGTTGGCTAACATTCGTCTCTACCAACCCTTTTCTCAAGAAAGTGAAGCTGGAATTTTTAATTTTGAGACAAACTACATGTTGAGAAAAGTGACTCCTTCAAAATGACACATTGTGCAGATAAGTATGACATTTATTGGTCAAGTTATGACTGATTCATTCCACTTCTCGTAAACATCTGAACTAGTTAAAATTTGTTAATTAGCAGCTGAATCAATGATGAATCAGCTAGTAATGAATCAGCTGCAAATCATGAAACTATTGATACATCTCCTAGATCGTCTATGGCACCACCTGACATTTTGCTTTCGTCACAGCAACGCTCATCTGACGACGACGAGGTCCCCAACAACTGAATCAGTGATAGTGCAGCTAGTGAAGAATGCAGATAACGAAACTATTCAGCTATCTCCTAGATGTTTCATGGCACCATCTGACATTTCACTTTCGTCACAGCAACGCTCATCTGACGTCGACAAGGTCACCAACAACTGAATTGATGCAGCTAGTGAAGAATGTCAAGCATTCTACTATTCATCTATCTCCTAGATGTAAAAATAAGTAACACTAATAATAACAGTAACAACAACATCGATTTTCGTTAGTTACGCGCCTGAGTTAAGACCTATTTTGTAACAATTAATAAGAAAATAATTTATATTAACACCGTTGAAAAGATTTATTTTTTACAGTGATATTGAGAGACAAATCTGTGTGATACTTTTTTAACTGATGATTTATAGCTGCTGCACGATAACTCACGTCATTATGATATAAATGAGACTGTCTAATTAACACTGAATTTATTGTCTTTAAGCGGACGGGACGGTTGCATTCGAACGATACTACTCCTGTTGTAGTTGAATTTACACAACGTACGTGAAATTCTGCGTTTTCCGCTTACTTATGTTTGATCTTTTTCTTGCTAGCTATATAGCTTAGTCTTCTATCTGTAAGATGAATAGAATGCATAATTGTCTCAACGTCTTTCGTTCTTAAACGCCCTACAACGTGTTCTTTTCGCATTTTCATTCAACACTTGAGTGGTAGAGACAGAGGTACTAGACTCACGATCGTCAGATTTATTCAGTACACTACCCTAACGAATGTACTTGAGCCAAGTATTTGGGTTAAGTATTGAGGACAGTACTTGTGGACTTTTTCAAGTAAATTTACTTGTCAAGTACTTCAGAAAGTGCCTGACAGATAAAATGTAAGTACTTGCCTGACAGAATGCAGATAAATTTACTTCAGAAGTCAAATACTTATTCCATTTATCTTCGTTTTGTATTTTGTACGTGCTCTGCAGCCATACTCTACTTTTGTATAACAAACACATGCACGGCTACTAAGTTTGTTCAACTCAGTAGAAATATATAAGTTTATGGTTATTTAATGGCAGGACTTTGTGTAAGCTCATAATATTTATTTATTCAGCACAAATTATTTGTTTATTACAAAATTTTAAAAATATATTTTTCTAAAGTTTCAAGTCAGCGACTCATAATCAGAGAAAATTTAATCATATACAATGTAGATAGAGAAATACCAAATACATTCACTAGGGTCGGTTTTGCACTTGAATACATTCAGCAGATGACCTTTCCAAAAATTTCTCCTTTAACGATGACATCCATGATTGTTTTGTACTTTCTTCTGAATACTCTTGCAGTCAAATCATGTCGATCTGTATGACTTTGACTATTTATTAGCTCATCTTTAATTTCTTGCCATGTTGGATTACAGGTGGATGTTATGAATAGATTTGGTGTTCCATATTTTCTCACATAGGTCATTGCATCTTGAGAATATTCGTGCATGTACCTTGGTCCTCCAACAAAAGACGATGGAAGAATCACTAACTGTCTTTGATTATTTGGATCTCTGTCGTTGGCAATGGCATCTCTTAAGTGAATGTAATCATCTGCTCTCAGAGTTTTTTGATTTAATCGTAAATACAACAATCTTTCACTTTCTATTTTGGCATACTATACATGTCAACCAAAAATTGATGAAAAAAGCTGGCGACAATTCAAGAAATGATTATCTTTGTCTGTCACCATTATTCTGTAGGCATAAAAGTCTTTAGCCGATACAGTTTTCCTTTGTTCCTGTTTTGTTGTAGGATCCACTTGCTTGATACTAATATAGTAGCCATCTTCACCTCGAGAAAATATTATTGGATACTGTAGAGCATCATAAGACTTGTGTGTCTCTGATATTCTTTGGAGCTGGTTATTTCGCTTATGCAACATTATATCGCGCAGTTCAAATTCATTTCCTTCAATAACAATTGCCACTTTATTTAAAACAGGTGCATTAAACCGCCGTTCATGCTCTCCAGCTGATGTTCTGTCAGCACGAAGCATAATTTGCATGTCGTCTTGGGGCATGTGATCGAGAGCATTCTTGAAATCGCGAACATATTTATTTTCTAGATGTAGCATTTGTTGAATTTTTGGTAAAATATCCCTTCTAACTCCAGGATTATTTACTAAGCGTTTATCTACTTCGCTTTGTTCATCACCCATGAAATAAGTCTGAAGAAATTTTGCATCCTCACCTTCAAGTGGCAAAAGTGATCCAGCTCTGTGATAAACCTGACCTTGGATTTTAAATGTTGGACTAAATCCTTGTTGAACTGAGATTGATCGAATTGTTCCAAACGATGTCATTTGTAAAGAATTGTTGAGTAGTCGTAAGTTTTTCTTTACATATATAGAATCTGCATCATTGTTTGACATGTAATTTGTAAGGACATCTGGTGGTTCCCGCAGTTCTAGCAATAAAACTTTTCCATTCGAGCAACACATTCCTGGCGTTTCTCCTTTCCATTTTTTTGCGGCACAAAATTCCCAAACTTGATCCATTCTCCCAATAACAACTTGAGTATGATATGGGATATTTGGATCATTATGAGACGAATCTCAGCCTGACAATCGAAATTTGATTGCCTTCTTCGTTGATCTACAAGCCTATTTTATCTTCTTTCTTGTAATTCAAAGGCTCGAGCAATTTCATAACTTGCTCTGTCTGCTCTCAAACGACTTTCTCTTTCATCGTCAGTTTCTGACGCTCGAGCATTTTGCTGTTGTAAACGTTGTGTCTGGAGTCGACTTTGTCTCCTTTTTGGTGATTCAGAAGCTCGAGCAATTTGTTGCCTTAAATTATGTGATTGGATCCTGTGGATGGAGATTTTGGGGTCGCACATAGCCTACGATCTTCCTCTTGATGAATGTAGACCCCATGCAAAATTTGGTTGCTCTGGGATCAAGCATGTGGATTTGTATAGCATAACAATCAAACAGGCAAACACTTTATATTATAGTATAGATTTACAGAAATTTTACGTTAATTGTGTACAGTAGCTTTAAACTTTAAATAAAGGGTGGCCTAGAAGTCCTGACCCGATTTGAATAATAAATTTTTCTATAGTAAAACAAGTGATAGTAAATTTGTTTCTGTGAAGAAAAGATGTAGTAAAAAAACGCTCTACAAGATGACTATTGATTGACCCCGTTAGCTCATCTAGTAAGAACGTTATAGGCTTAGAAATGTGCTTCACAAAAAAGAAAAATCAACCGTGAATCCGGTCTCGGTATTTTTGCTTTTACTCCTGTTCCTTAGGTCCCCTAGAATAAGTTCTTTTTTTTTTAATAGAAGCCTCGTGTA